AATAGCCAGAACTTAAAGATATTTAATTTATTTTCCCTTTTGCAATAGACTTGAGCTGTTCAAAGTTAACTATAAAATGAGTTGAGTAGATGCAAAAATCGGAATTTTGTACGAGAAAAAGGCATTGGTAGTGCTCAACTGATAAATACCCTCAGTCTACACAGCTTTTATTTATTTATAAAATAGATTTCAACTATTCAAAGTCGATAGTAAGCTACGTCAAAGAATTAAAATACGAGAGGAAAGTAAAACTTTTGAATAAATAGAAGCAGTCGGGAGTGCTCAACTAGTAAATACCCTGAACTTGCATAGATTCACATTATTATAACTTTTGTATAACTGAGCATCTTTGGGCATGCGAAATACAGTAGAATTCGGCTATAACGTTTCCGTTAAAAAATCGTCGATACCTTGAGCGTTGCTATAACCGCACTCTGCTGGGCATGAATCAATATTTTCTATATTTTGAATGAATATTTTCTATATTTTATTGACTATAGCTCTAAAATGAAGGTTCTATTTGATTTTTTATTATTTCTCTTTTTTTTTAATAAACCACAAAAAATGGAAAATAAAAATTCGTCCGAATAGCGCACTGAAATTAAATTTTTAATATCTAATTTCAATTTGACAATTACAGCTACCAACATATGTTTGGTATGCTACAAATTGAATCTCTTTGAAAAATAAATTATTTATAGAAAATTTATATATAGAGATACTGCACTCGACTCTTAATTCCAAGCAAGAATATATTTGGATATGTATATTCATCTTAGCTATATACAAAGATAAGCACTTTCAGTTAACTCAGCTCGATTTTTCATTCTGAAAGTGTAGTCCATAAAGACTTCTTTTTATGATTAGCCGGTGTCTGTTTGTGGCTGTTCCATTAAGTCGAGCACGAGTGAAACGAATATTACTTTCTCAAAGATAATTTGCTACATTTGTTTTTGACCAAAAGCCTGCGAGGCTAAAGTAAATAGCAAAGAGCAAAGAGCAAATAGCAAATGGGAAATTTGTTGAGCAGTGTTGGCCTGCCAGGCAGCCGCCAGTTGAAGGTGGCGAAAGGTTGGTGAATGTGGTGAAGGTAGTATCTCTGTAAAATGTGAGCATAAAATGTAAAATGTAAAATGTAAAACGTGAAACGGCTCCAATGTAAGACGCATGCGATGGCAACATAATTGATTGCCTTTTGGCTGTTGCCTGGGCGGCGGAAGCTGCGGTGGCTGTTAGCTGATAGGTGATGGCTGTTAACTGGAAATTGGAAAACCTAGCGACTGCTGCCACTTAAAGTTGTTTGTATACCCTGCATAAAGATGCGGTTGAGTGCATGTAATAGGCAGAAGTAGGCGCGGCATACCCCCATAAAGTATATATTATTATTGAGCTGAGTCGAGCAGAGTTTTGTCCGTCTATTCATAAATCTGAACCTTTTGCAAAATTGTATCTTCTAGACCTTTAGAGCCAGAGTATCCAAATTTTAAATATAGATTCATGTATATCTGATAGAATTTCGATTTTTGTTATATGTGAAATATAGGCTCTAAAATCTACACCCTATATCAATCCCTCGCAGGCTTCAGCGGTTTTCGCAGTCGAACAGTCCCGACTAGAGTTTTCTTACTTGCTTTTTTTTTTCTGAAGTCAAGTAACTGGTTGGACTGGGCTGCGCTGTTTGGGCTGGATAAATGCAAAGTGAGGTCCTTTTGCCTGAAATATCACCAGTCTCAGTTCGAGTGGCAGCTCGCAGTAAATAAGTTGAATAGCCGTGCAGTTGCCAAGTTCGCTAAGAGTGAGGGAGAAGGAGAGGGGGGCGAGGAATAGGGGCAGAGCTGTTGCCAGGCCCTGAGAGTAATAATGACCGAAATCAGAGCAGTCATTTTATTAAAATAACAAAAATATTTTGCTGCCAGCAGCAGCCTTTTTACGACGCGCTCGGTTGCCATTTGTCGGTCATTGCCTTCGAATATTTGTCCGACTTGCTTTATGTGTATTTCTCTATCAAAGTGGGCGTGTGTGTGTGCGGGTGTGCGGGTGTGTGTGTGTAGGAGGCTACTCTGCTACTGTCACAGATTTGCGCTGGTCGAGTCAAGGAAGTGTCGATACATTTTAGCTAACCAAAGTTATGCATTTGGGCTTCGAGAGAGAGAGAGAGATGGGGAGTGAGTGAGAGAGAGAGAGGAAGAGATTGACCCTTGCCGCTTGCTTTATGACTCACAGGGGAATAGATCCGGAAAAATTATTGACTCTACAATAAAACGAAGAGCCCAACTTGCTGAACATAAAAGCAAAAACTTGTCAAGCGAGCTTAAGGACCCCTAACTCATATTTCCATTACAATGAACTACAGATCCATATGCTCTTAATTGAGCTGCTAATCTTGATCTTTATAGTAAGTATTACATAGTTGATTTAATAGTCACTCGGAAGGTATATGTAGTAGCTCACAATATGAAACATATGTGCCTCAAGATACAATGCAATCGCCATGAATCATTTCGAGTATTATCAAGGGAATCTTTAGCGAATTTTTCATTTTGGGCAATATATTTTGATTTATTCTTGATTAACTTACATAAATTATCGCTGAAAAGTCGACGATGAGATAAGATATGAACTCCAATAGCAGAGGAACTTAAAGTTTTCAGCAATAGCTAGGAAGCGTTGTGCCATGGGGAGTGCTCAACTAGTAAATACCCTGAACCTGAAGAGATGGAGGTTGTTATACAATACACTTGAACATTTTTATAGTAAAATAAGCAGAGCATGGGATTTAGGAAGTGAATTAAAAATGTTTAACAGTTGCTGACTAGCAAGAGCTTGGGGAGTACTCTGCTAGGAAATACCCTATAGGCAATACTATAACCCATGAAGCATCTACCTCTGTCGAAACGTATGCTCTCATTTCATTAACTGTCATAACTAACCCACGTTCATCATCCATCCACTAGGTTTTTATGGCATCAATTAACCCTTGATCATTTTCACTTGACTGTGTAACACCCGCCCTTTACAGCTATAGTCCTACGCCCTCCTCTCGCTTAACGATCTACCAATTATTTGCCTATTAAAATGAGCAATTGAGGACTTGTTCAAATGCTCGTAAATGGATATTATTGAGCAGTTATCAGATTAGTTCAGTTCCTTGTCTTGCTTGTATTGTCATATTTAATGCATAATCCCATTTCCGGGTGCCTTTCACGTAAAAACCTTTTCCACCAAGCTGGCAATCCTTTGGACTCAGGCAGCGCTGCCAAACGAACAGATTTGTATAAGTTGGCCCCATGTGATGGACACTCATCACACAAAAGTGACATTTATATTGATGTGCCATCAACCCAATTAGATCAACAATCTAATACAAAACTGTCTCACTGCGTGTGTGTGTGTGTGTATGTGTGTGTGTATGTGTGTGTCTGCTTGTGTGTGTGTGGTTTGTTTGCATCACAGGAAGTCATATATCCCGAATTAAGCTTTGTGTGCACGGCAATTTGCGGCATCAGAGGAGCGGGTCAAATGGACCCGACCCGACCCACACGAGCCGAGCATATAAGTAATAATGTAATTATAGGCCCATAAACAAGTCGTAAATCAATAAACAACGCTCACACACGCACTCACACACGCTTGCTCTCGGCCATAAGTAGAAATTACGTATCACAACAAAAACTACGTCCAACAAATCAACTAAGTGCGGTTATTGCACAACTGTCCGACTAGCCAATACCCTAGCCACGGACTTAAGCACTGCTTTAATAAGCAATCGAGCTAATGGAATATGCTGATTGCTAATTAAATAAAGGATCCATTTGAGCTCGATAACTAAACCAATCCTCAATGAAGTGTCAAGTCTCAAAATCGATATTTATCGATCAAGTGAGGCTGCTTAGAACGTTAAGCCTTCATCTTATATTGCATTAAATGTATCAATGATATTTCTAGTTCATAACATTCATGGCCTATGGGTAAAAATTATATAAATAA